AGGAAAGGCATCTAATCTGGAGAAGCAGTGGAAGCAGCTTCCTCTGCCTCTCTCCATGTGTGGTCCCCAAGCTGATGCTTAGAATGAACATTACCGAGGGTATTCTTCTGCTGATGATATTAATCATCACTTCTGGGAAGGTTAGGAGACAGCACACAGGTAGGCAAGTATAGGAACCCCTGGTCCTTAGAATGAACATTACGGAGGGTATTCTTCTGCTGGTGATATTAATCATCACTTCTGGGAAGGTTAGGAGACAACACACAGGTAGCAAGTACAGGAACCCCTGGTCAACTCAGATGGAAGTGCAAGGATGTGAAAGAGGAGGCTGGAAGAGGAGGTTGGAGATCTCAGTGGGGACAGGCGGTTGGGAAAAGCAGAGTAAAGAGTTGGCAGGCCTAAAGTTTGCCTATAATAAAGACTTGGCAAGTTATTTGAGACCATCTATCATCTTTTCTCCATAGCATATGGGGCTATGATGGGGCTCCTTAGGTCTCCCCATTAGTAGTCTTTGACCCAACAACCTAGCAGGTCACTAGACCCAAGGACCTGTGGCAGGGATCCAGACTTTGCTCACAACTCAGCCCCACCCAGTCTCCATCAGAATAGTCACACTGTGCCTACCAGTAGCAGGTTCTAGCACAAGAGACTTCACAATCCTTCATTCAAACTTGAACATCTGTTCATGCCGTCTCTGGCAAACCCACCCTCTTATCGGACCACAATCCTCAAGCCAAACAGCAGAGCAGTCTTGCTCTCCTCAAACCCCCTCCCACCTGGGTCCAGACACCTTCTCCTCCCTCCTTGCGGCCTTACCGAGCTCAGGGGAGGTGGGCCGAGTCCGGCGACCTTTGCCCTGACTGCGGGCCCCTCTGCGGTCCCAGGGTCCCCAGGGACCGTCGTCCTCAGGCCCTCTGCGCAGCCTCTTCTCAGCCTCAGGCCCCGCTCTGTTCTTTTCCAAGGTCTGCGGCACAGCAGCGCCCTCCAGGCCCGGTGTGGCCCAGGGCAGGAAGCGCACGGCCTGCGCTGGGGGCTCCCGCTTCCGTCCAGGTGGGACTTTCGTCCTGGCCTCGGGGGTATCGGCCGCGGGGGGTGGCACGGGGCTCCTGCACTCTTGGATAGCTCTGCCCCGGGTCAGCGGGAACTGGTCTCGACGCCTAACCTCCTGCTGTGGGCCTTCCCCCGGTTCCGTCCTGCCCACCGGCCCACGGCTCCTGGGCCTCCCTGGCTCGTCCCCAGCCTTCCCCGCGACGTTCGGAGGGGCCGCCTGGGCAGTGGCGGGGCTCACAGCCCGCGAGGTCTTGGGGGTGGAGGGCTGGGAGAAGAGCGGAGGCTCGCCGGGCTCTCGAGGTGACGGGGCGCGCTGCAGAGTGGTGCGCAGGGACTCGTGAGAGCGCACCAACTCCTCTCGCGAGGTGGAGCGGCGGATACGGCCCAGCTCCTGGGCGAAGCGCAGCTCGAGGTCTGTGGCCGGGCTGCGCTGCCGTGTGCGCTCGTCCAGAGAGGCTGCCTTCTGCTGGAACAAGCGGCGCCGCTCGGCCACGCTACCGGGCGGCGCCCGCAGCTCCTCCTGCGAGGCCCCGGGCGTGCCCCACGGCGCGGCGCCCTCCGACTTGGGCTGCTCCAGAGAGCGGGCCTTGCGCAGGGGCACCCAGGGCCGCAGGGGCGCCGGTGGCGAGTCGCTGCGCTCCAGGCTGCGTCGTCGTTCCTCAAAGAACTGCAGCTTGTCCAGGATGCGGGAGCCAGCGCGCACCAGCCTAGGTGAGCGGCCCAGAGCGGACAGGCGGCCTGAAGCCTCGCTCAGGGGCGTCTGCGACCGGGATTCTACCGTGCCCGCCAGCGAGGGCCCTGACGACTTGGACTTTTTCCCTCGCTTCTCTTCGGCAATGGTGTCCTCCGGCTGCAGAGGCTCCTGAGTGCGCCGATGGGGCGATGTGGGAGTCGCTGCAGGCTGGGCGCTGGGTCCCAGCGGGGACCGCTTACCCACCCGAGGGGACGGTGGAGGAAGCAGCGCGGATTTGGAGGGAGGCGGAGGAGCCGCGCGACGCGGGGCTTCGCTGGCCAGCTGAGGCTGAAGGTCGGGCTCCTCCCTGTGCAGTCCACTCTGAGGGACGCTGCTGCAGAACCAAGACGAAGAGGAGTGAAGGATTTAGGGGCCTCCTCTCCTAGACCCTTAGCTTGTGACAGGAATTGGGCAGTGGGCATGCTGGGCAGGCTTGTGGGTGACATGGTCCAGACCCTTCTGTCCTCCCACCCCCGTCCCCCAAGAGGAGGGCACAGCCAGAGCAGGTGCTGGGGAGAGGCTGGCGGCTCTGGCACCAGAATATCAGGCTATTGGCTGGGTCCAGATAAAGACCCAGCCCCAGGGACTCTGGCCAGCCCCCTCCCCCCAGCCCGGGAAGCTGGGAAACAGCCGAAACAGAACTGAGCATGAGGGAGAGAAAAGAATGAGGCTTGGAACCCAAAGGATGAAGTGATGTGGGAAGACGGGAGGGTTGGGTGGAGAGGGGCCCTCTCAGGAATGCAGCCTCCCACTCATTCCTGCCTCCAGCTGGCCCCACACCCCTGCCCATTCTCAGCAGGACACACCCCCTCACAACGGCCCCTAGAAGAGCAACAGCCACCTCCTGGACCAGACACAGCCTTCAAGGAGCAGTGTCCCATCCCTGATGCCATCACCAGTGCTGATAGGACACAGCAGGTGGCAATGGGATACCCAAGCTTCCATTCATTGCCCAATCTACCCCCAGTGTAGACCTTTGACTTTGTTCTGCCCCTGGGAAAGGTATCTTGAGTCATTGGAAACATCCCTGAGAAGCACAGAAGCCCCCACAAAGGAGTATGCTCAGAAATAACTACCAAGTGGGCTTGAATTGGGGGGAGGGGAAGAGAAGGAGGGAAAGAGCCACTTATCCCAGAGTACCTCTCTGACTTAACAGAGCTTTGATGCCCAAGAACTGAGCCTCAGTTTCCCCCATCTAGACCCTTGAGAGGGCACATCGAACATAAAGATTAG